CATCAAAAATATTGGCCTGTAGTTTTCTTTTTTTGTGGTGTCTTTATCTGGTTTGGGGATTAGGGTAATGCTGGATTCATAGAAAGAGCTTGGAAGTGTTCCTTCCTCTTGAATTTTTTGGAATAGTCTGAGGAGGATAGGTTGTAGTTCTTCTTTGAATGCTTGGTAGAACTTCCCTGTAAAGCGTTCTGGACCAGGGCTTTTGTTTGCTGGACGATTTTTTTTATCGCTGCTTCAATTTCTTCGGTAGTTATCGTCCTATTCAGGTTTTTTGATTCTTCCTGGTTGATTTTCGGGAGCTTTTATTTTTTTTAAAGAATATGTCCATTTCGTCTAGGTTGTCCTTTTTGTTGGAATAGAGTTGTTCATAGTATTTTTTCATAATCGTTTGTATTTTTGTGGGATTGGTTGTTATTTCACCTCTTTCATTTCTGATTTTGTTTACTTGGGTCCTCTCTTTTTGCTGCTTGATGAGCCTGGCTAGAGGTTCATCAATCTTGTTTATCATTTCAAAGAACCAACTCTTGGTTTTGTTTATCTTTTATATTATTTATTTTTGATTTTATTTATTTATTTATTTTTGGTCTCTATGTCATTTATCTCCACTCTGATCTTTATTATTTTCTTCCTTCTGCTTACGCTGGGCTTTTCTTGTTGCTCTCTTTCTAACTCTTTGAGTTGTAGGGTTAGGTAATTTATTACCATTATTTCTTGTTTTTTGAAATAGTCCTGTGCGGAACTTCCCTCTCAAGACTGCTTTCACTGTGTCCCATAGATTTTGGATTGTTGTGTTTTCATGGTTATTTGTTGTCATGATGCTCTTTATTTCTTCTTTGATCTCTTTGGTAACCCAATCATTGTTTAATAGCAAGATATTTAGCTTCTAGGTATTAGATTTTTTTATTGTTTTTATTGTAGTTGATTTCTAGTTTTATGCAATTGTGATCTGAGAAGATGCTTGATATGATTTCTATCTTCTTGAATTTGAAGAGTTTGCCTGTGTCCCAATATATGGTCTATCTTTGAAAATGACCCATGTGCACTTGAGGAGAATGTATATTCTGTGTCTTTGGGGTGAAATGTTCTGAAGAGGTCAATTACTTCCTTCTGATCTAGTGAGTCATTTAGGATTGCTGTTTCTTTGCTGATTTTTTGTTTAGAGAATTTGTCCAGTGGTGTTAGTGGGGTATTAAAGTCCCCTACTGTGACTGTGAGGGTTCGGTTTCTGGTAGAGGGGCTGTGTGCAAATGACAGAGAGGAGACAAGAAATAATGATTTGGAAATTGGGGGGCCAGGTGGGAGCCCAATGCAAGAGGAAGGACTCTACTTGTGCTCAGGCCTTGCCACCCTTTTATTCAGTTTGAGATACACCTATAGCCCTTAGGCAGGCTATTCCAGTAACAGACTGACTATGTTATCAGTAAGGATTTACATTACTATCTGGTCAGGAAGTTGCTTCAGCTACCATTGTCTCGACTAAACAGTTGGTGCATAGCTCTGACCTTTGCCAAGGCTCAAGGGTCACCAGCATTCCAGGCTCCTTGTCCACACCTCTCTTCTAGTGAAGACAATAGGCGGCTTCCCACAGAATTGCTGTTTCCCTCTGTCACTGATCCCCAGGTGGGGTATGTGGGGGGACCTTACAGAGTTTCAAGGTTGCCATTAAAGTGAGGGCAAAACAGACCCCCACCTCCAAGCATTGTGGCTGTGCTATGTGATGAAAGCCAAGGAGGTCAGCTCAGGGAGGTAAGAGATGTAAAAATCTTGTGATTCAGCACCACCTACTGGAAAACGGTAGAAAGACCTCTTCAGAGAAAGCTGTTAGAGAAAGGTCAATACATAGATGCCTAGACAGAGGAGACCAGCAAATACCAGAAATAACCACAGTAACGAGGAAACACAGAAAGAAAACAAAAAATCTCTAGAAAGCAAGCTGGAATACATCGAAATTGTGATATAAATGAGAGAACTTACTGATTTTTTGAATATGTAGCTGTGTGTAAATAAGACTGAATTTAAAGTCAAAACACTGAGGTTACTGTCTTGTTTTTCTTTTTGGATGGGTGACCTTGGACAATCACTTTAGGGAGAATAATTATGTAAATGTCATCTATAAAGTAGGATTGGTTATCCTCAAGCTTTTTTTGAGAATTAAATGAGAAAGTGTATAAAAGTTCTTTGTAAATTATAAACCACTATATTTAAGGTGTTATGATTAATCCTTAGTGAATTTTGCTTTAATAGCATCTTAAATTCTTAATCTGACTAGATAGATTTGCTAATGATTATTGGTTAATATAGGGAAATGTATGCATGGGTGTTTTCTGTAAGAGTAAAAATAGTTCCTTTGAATTTAATTCTGTGCTGGGTGAAAAGATGCATAGACCTTCAAAAGTCAGTCACATTATAATTTTAGGCTGCAATTCCTATCATCCAATAAAATTTAAACTCTGTATAATTACAGCTAATAGTGTACTGACCTAAAGGGTCAGACAAACACTAGAGACAATTGGAGATAAAGGGATAAAAATAATATTAATACCAAAACATTAAATAAACATAAAATGGATCAATTCCCACCAAAGACCTAGGTATTCCTGTTATCTGTTATTTATATTTCTCTGAATCTCTGCATCTGTTGCTCATGCTCCTGTGTGGAACAGGACATTTTAAGAATTGGCTGTTTGCAAGGCAAATAGAATTTTAGAATTTCTAAATTGGAAGAATATTTAGGGGTCAAATTGTTAAAGCATCTCACATACTAGTAGATGGGGAAGGGATTTTTTAAATGCTGCTCAATAATTTTTTAGCAAAATTGTCAGGTTTCTGACTTTCAGCTTGTAGCTCTTTAAAAATGGAGCCTATAAGTCACTGTTCAACAAAGAGTACCATGTAAAAAAATCAATTGGCTGGATTAGTTGTTAAGAATAAAGATTCTTGGGTTCTATCTCAGATTTACCGAAACAGAATCTCAAAAGTAGTCCATGAGAACCTGCTTTTTAGCAAGCTTTACAATTGTAATACACACTGATGTTGAAAAGTACTGCTGTAGCCATTCTTACTTCAAGTATTTATACTGATTCCACACACTAAATGTGTCTTTTCAAGCATTTAAAAAACACCCAAGTGGTAGTGTTAGTGATGGTTAGACATCGGTAAAGAAAGAATTCATAGCCAACAACTCTAGTGCAAGAAGTTTATTTAGACTTTTAGAAAGAAAGTCATAGAGGCAGAAATGAGCCAGCTGGGTTGTAGCATGGATGTAGGAAACAAGTTACAGAGACAAAAGAAGGGCCCTTGGAGACAGATTCAGGGGCTTAGCCCTGGAAGAGTTGCTGCTGCCTACTACTCCTCTGGTTGCAAGTCTCCTGGCAACCTTTAAGGCTTAGGAGAAAGAAAGCAAAGCTACACACCTTAGAAAAGAATGGAGGGAGTCACAGGCATGCCCTAGAGAAAGAGAGTGTGTCCACTGGGTCCTTTCTCTTAAAGGGTTTTATCTGTTTAGTACAGGCAGGAATTTCAGGGGAGGTCCAAGCAGAGGGTCTCAATAGAATATTAATCAGCTTCCCATGTGTATACTTTCAGGATTGTGCTAAGGTAGGAGATCATTAGTTGTTGCAGCTGGGCCATGTTGTTGCTTCCGGTTTTGCTGCTTTTCTGGGCCTGGAGCTGAAACATAACTGAGGCCTAGATCTTATCTCTAGTTGGACCAAAACTCTCTCTCTGTTGTCAACCAGACCTGAGGCTTTTCAGAACCCTATTGTCCTGAGGGCTTAAGGCTTAAGGGAGTGGTCATGCAAGGGAGAAGGGGGCAGGTGAGTCAGGGTGCTGGATGAGGCCAATTTGAATCAGCTGTCTCAGTTTCCCCATTATCAAGGAATTTTCCTGGCTTCTTACTATCCTGCCCCAGTAGTGGATCTAAAATGCTATCAGAATCCCCATGGTAATTGTACAGTGTAGAGTCCAACAAATTCAGATAAGGAAAATGCTAGTAGTCAAGCACACTTGGGAAGCTTAAACTGGTTGAACAGTCTAGTAGAGGGCAGGTTCTTGGGCAGCCTTCTAGGCATATTTTTACTTCCTCTTTTGGTTAAGTGGGGGCTAAAATATATTAATACTTTTCATACCACCTTCCAAGTTCTTCTGGCTGGGCTAATAACCAAGTGAACAGAGACAGATTGACAGGAGAAAATCAAAGTTTAATACATGCACATGGGGAATTCACATAGATAAATCCATAAAATTTCCAAAGACAGTGGGGCAACATTAGGTATATAAGACATTTTGAACAAATGAGAAAAGGGGAGGAACAAGACATTAGATTTCAGAAGTGAAAATGGGGGATTTACAGGTAGCTGAGGAAGAAAAGAATACATATGGCAAAGCATCCTTGCTAGGTAACTCAGAAACATTGGGAGACAGGGGGTATCTAGCTAACAGGTCCCTGCCTGAAGCACTCTTGTTTATCATACTTAATTCAAATTAGGCTAAAGGGAACACCCTGAATTCTACTTCTTGAACCAGGTTCTCTGAATATCTTGGGTAGGTTCTTTCTGAGTCTTATTTTTTTAATAAACAGCTTAAACTCAATATCCCCCAAAGCAGCTTCAGGGTGGCAAAACTTTGGTCCTTTCCGTCACATAGAGAAGCTAACTGAAGATGTAGTTATTGAAGTATAAGCTCTCTGCCAAGAAACAAAGTCTGAAAACATGGGCCTTGTGTGTGTCATCATTTTATCACCCCCTAGTTTTTCCTAGCTCTAAAACTCACCCAAAGTTCTGCATGCAGAATCCCCAGGGGCTCCCGAAAGACCCTGCAACTAAGCATCCTTAGCCTCAACTGATCTGCCTGTCTAGATGTGGAAACTCACACCACTGGAGTGACTCAAAGGGTTAACAAACAGTGTGCTGCTGCAGAGTGGCAGGGAGAGAAGCCAATAGAGTGTCTAGCAGTCTGTACATCTGGTGGGCGGGGCTGGGAAAGGGCGAGGCCAAAGGGAACCAGAGGAAGTCCAAGGGGTGAGAGGGCTAAGCGGCTATAAATTCCTAGGAGGCGGGGGCTATCAGGCGAGCACGTGAGCACGCACCCTTTCTCCCCGTTCTCCTTTATCCTTAGGGGTTGGTAGCTGCGGGGACAGCCCGGGGTCGGTGTATGGCCACGGAGTTACGGAGTCCGGACTCCATGCCCTGTCACAACCAACAAGTAAACTCTGCCTCTACCCCAAGCCCCGAGCCGCTGCGACCTGGCGACCCGACCCCAGATTATGTGGGGGGAAACAGCACCTCCAAGGCCAAACCGACTCTCCTCACCAGTCACGCCCATTCTAGTGTATTGGGGGAGGGGAGCCCTCAGGCCTGCAGCAGCCTCAGCCTCAGCCAGGAGCACAACCACGGCAGTGGCAACTATGACGCATCGGCCGGCGACTCCTTCCTAAGGGACAGCCAACTCTCCTGGCAGATTGGGGCTCAGCTTAAGCTGCTACCCATGAATGAGCAGATCCGGGAGCTGCAGACCATCATCCGGGACAAGTGAGCCAAGAACTGAAGGGGAGAGGGAGTTGGAGGGTCTCTCTGGAGGTGGGCGGGAATTAGAAGTAAAAGGGCTCAGGTTTAATTTTCTAGGCCTGGGGAAACTGGCTTGTGGAGATCTGGGCAGGGCTTTTTCTTTGAAGGGCTCTGGTCACTCCTACCCTCTTTTTCCTAGTCCCAGTGTTTGACCTCTCTTTGTGTTTCCCGAGCAAGGAAACCTTGTAGGTAGCCTCCTGCTTTCTTTTTATCTCTTCTGAGCAATGAAGAATCCGTTCCAGGCAGGTAAACGCGCCTATGCTATTTGTCCGGTGCCTATCTACGTGGTAAATCTATAAAACTACCTAAGGTTATACTCTACCTGCAATCACCTCAGGCTTACAATAGAAATAAAGCCATTTCAAGGAAATTCTGTTGTGCTCAACAGGCCATCTGTCCCTTTGGGATTTGCTATTACAGATACCATTTTGTCTAAGGTCTTTTAGTCTTGGAGTTGAGGTTTACTTGGTCACGTGCAAGCTTGTCATCCAACTCTTATAAGGATAGTTTTATTGTAAACTTATAGAATATCGACTGTTTCCTGTATAATTAATGGAGGAAAGGGGGCCTAAAGGAGCCTTTGGTGCTCTTCCTAATCTCACAAACTAAGGTAGCAAAAACTTCATGTTAAATGCTACTTTGAAATCTCAAAACTTATGTTGTAGATGGGGTTTCTCATGCACTATGATGGAACTATAGCTGGCTTCTATATTGGCAGAACTTTAAATGAGTATGTACTGCATGTCTAAAAATTAACTTTTTGGTGGATGCTTGGATCTTTTAAAATGACTACTGAGTCAGGACATCACTCCCTAAATCAGACTAGTAACCTTTTCTTAATACTATTGTAATAGGCTCCTTATTTGTTTCCCTGATCCAGTTTTTCTCTTTTCCACATGCATGCACACATTACGGAGCAATCAACCTTATTAATATCCCACTTTGATTAGGTAACTGCCCAACTCAGCAGTTCTCTTTGGCTTCTGAGGGCCTACCATATAGGTAAGCTTCTACTCTCATCTGAAAGTCTTTCTACTCCTCTGCATGTTCAAATCCTATCTATTCTTCAAGGTCAAACCCAGCATTAAATGTCCACCTCTGCCAAGAAGCTTTCCTTTAATCATTCTTCCTCTGCTGATCTTCCCTGACCTTTTAAATGCATAATTCACCTACTATTTTGTATATTGTTATTTGTGTATTGATCTTATCTCACCTTTTAGATTTTAAGCTCCTTGAGGACAAAAAAATGTATCTTTTACATATTTGAATTCCAACAATGTCTTGTAAATAATACTCAATTACTAAAAGTTCTTTCTAAAGCTTTTAAAAATTGTAGTTATAAAACTATACTATTTGTTTTTAATGAATCCATATTGAAAACCTGTGGTCATGTGATTTAATAGGTGAAGTAATGATCTTAAAATGTAGGATGCATAGGCTTGGTAGTTGAGATGGGGTAAACTGAAATAAAATTAACTGTAAAACAAAGAAAATAGGATGATGATTCTTGGTTCTATAGAACAAGAGTTGCTGGCCTTTAGTTTTGACTCCCTCTGCACCTGTAGATGGGCTCAGGGACTTTAGCAAACCTTCCAAAATTATCTGGGAAATATTACTTGTATGTGCATTTTTAAAGGATTTTTTAAAAATAAAATATTTATTGATATATAATTCACATACCATATCATACACTGTTTAAAGTGTACAATTCAGTGACTTAGAATATTCATGGCTGTGCAACCATCACACAATCAATTTCATCACTCTGACAAGAAACCTCATACTCACGAGCATTCAATACCCATTTCTCCCCAACCCACCTGAAACTCTAGACTACTTTATGACTATTGATTTGCCTATTCTGGACATTTCATACAAGTGGAATCATACAACATGTGGTGTTTTGTGACTGTTTTTTTTTTCCTGTTTAGCATAATGTTTTCAAGGTTTATTCATGTTGTGTCAGTATGCCATTCCTTTTTTGGCTGAATGATATTCCATGTTATGGATATATAACAATTTTTTAATCCATTCATCAAGTGATGGACATTTGGGTGGTTTCCACTCTTTGGTTCTTATGAATAACACTGCTATGAACTTTTGCACATGTGCCTTTTTTATGACAAAGGGTTCCTTAGATTTCATTAGATTTTTACATGAGAATGTAAGAGTAAAGCATTGCTGTAGAACTTGGAGAGGGCATGACATTCAGCATTCATATATGACACTATCAATACCTGATTTTACTGCATTACTTAGAAAAGCCTGGGTAGTATAGTAAACCTGGGTGTAAGGGAAACATTTTTTTTTCTGAGTTTGGAAGGGGACATTAGTATCCATAGTGATCTTAGGCAAGATGTTTAGCATCTCTGTGCTTCAGCTTTATCATTTGTAAAATGAGGATGTTGGCAGTGTTTCACGGAGTTCCTGGAAGGCTAAAAGAAGATATTTTACTGTCTGAATATTTGTTATAAACAGTGAAGAGCTGTGCACATTTAAGGCATTTCAAGACTTCACATTTGCATTTGTACATGGTTCTGATTGCATCCATAAGTGCTGGTTTCTTGAGCTTCCAGGAGATAGTAAAAGAAATTAAACTGTACATACAACGCACATTGTTATTTTAAAAAAACACTGAGAGATTCTAGATAATTTTTATCATGCTATGATACAGTATGGAACGATGCACTATGATTTTTGATAATTGTTGCTTAGTTGCTTAGGCTGCAGACAGTGTTTTAGTTTTGTTTTCGTTAATGAATTCTGTTAACAGAGGCCTCTTTTGCTTATATCTTCAAAAATTGGCATCCCCCGACACTAAAAAGACCTGTTTCATCCCCTTTAGGGGTTTTTGTAGTGTACCTGTGGTAAGAGGAACTGTATTTATTTAGGTCTAGTTATTGAAGGTGCCATCACTTAATCATATGCTGTCTTCCTTGAGGCTTTATACTCTTCTCTATTTTTATGTGACATCATATGATGGGGCTGTCTGATAATAGAAGACATTGTAGTACTTGTTATTCCTTTTATTTTTTTTTTATCTTTAGTGCCTATCTGGTGAAGGGATTGCTTTCTGAATTGACTTTGCTATGGGGAAATAGGGTTGAACCAGGAGGAATGCATGTTGTTGTAACTATATAAAGCAGGCAAGATTGAGAAAATGGGACTGATTAAAAATGTGCAAATATTTGAAACGTAGTATGGTGATTATATTGTAGCATTCAAAGAAATGTTTTTTTCTCCCACTGAAAGTGCAGTAATATAAAAACATCAATGGTCAGATAATTTATTGTTATACATGGGTCACACAAGAGAAATGACTCCTTCATTTCCAGTTTCTATTATTGCAGTGGATTAAACCACCCATACTTCCCCTGCTGCCACCTTTTTGTCCTAAACCCAGCAAAATCTGAGTGTAATGCACTTTTCCCTTATTGGTCATGACCTCATATTTAAGGCAATATAGTATATTTAAAAAATCAGCTTCCCTCCCTGTTTTTTGTTGTTGTTGTTTTCTTTTGTCTCCTGAAACATTCAAGTAAAGCTATTTCATGAGCAGTCAAATATTTGAATATTTTCTATATACTTATTCTCAAAGGGAGGTTGCCATGGCCTCAGTTTGAAGCTTGGATGAAAATTGATCAATCTTAGCAAGTTTAGTCTGTGAACTAGCACTAAAGAAAGAGTACATTCAGTCTTGTGACTTTATTTTAGTCACCTGGAGTGGAGAAAATTAACCTTAGGCTGGATGAACATCCTGTGCAGTTCTAATGTGAGTGCATCCTAATGTGATTTGAGTAATCTGACTAGGTAATATAATATTTTTAACCAAAGCTGTGCATCTGAAGTGCCCGGGGAGTCTTTTTTTCTGTTTTTACTTCCCATTCTTAGTAGTCTTGAGTGGAACTTGAGCATCTGTAGCTTTACAGACAACTCTGGTGATTGTGCTGTGCTCAGGCTGGGCCACTGCCATTTGCATAGTGATTTGTCTGGCTTCAGATTCAAGATATAGGCTGAGCCAAGGATTCTACACACCAAACAGAACTAGCCTAGAAAGCCTGGTCTGGCATCACCCTGAGACCAGAGAAATCTCAGAACTTTTCCCTTCAATTTGGACAAAACCAAAATGTCCACTACAGAAAAACCTCCCACAAAACTGTCACCTGCAAGTTGTTTAAAACATGGACATGTTTTTGGTTTCCCTGAGTATTTCATGTGAATTTTCCTACTGGCTTTTAAGCTAGGAGGGAGGAAGGTGCCTCTTTAAACTATACATACTTGTGTTATAATATTTATTGGGCATATCCTGGTAATGTCTCAGGGGCTAGTCTGGATCTCAAGGAGGCAGAAAGAAGGTCTGGCCTGTCACAGTACCTGGCACATAGGGGTATTAATATTGCAATCATTATAAAAAATACATTTCTGAATGACTGAAACCTGGGTTCTAAGGGAAACTGTTAGTTTCTCTTTATTTTTTACCTGATTTTGAATGTTTACATTGAACTTTGCTTTGAGGTACAAGTAAATAATTAATGACAGTATTTTATGAGCTTTTAAGGAAGGTATTAAAGAGCTGTAGCCTTGATGACTTGCACCTGACAGTTACTAAAAGCCATTTTTTTTAAAAGTCAGATTAGATTGGCTCCAAGTACTTCACTAGGGGTATCTATAATAATAAAAGTGTAATATGCTAATTAGACTGGACAGCCAAACGACCTTCCAGACGTCATTCCAGATGTTCTTCCGGACAGAACCGCTGCGGCAGGGGCCAAGGCAGAGGCAGTTAGGGGTGATCAGGCAGGCAAGCCAGCAGTTAGGGGCGATCGGGCAGTCAGGTAGAGTGGTTAGGGGCAATCAGGCAGTCAGGCGAGCAGTTAGGGGAGATCAGGCAGGCAGGCAGAGGTGGTTAGGGGCAATCAGGCAGGTAGGCAGTTAGGGGCTATCAGGCAGGCTCAGAGGGGTTA